TACGGAACCCTAAAAATAATAATTTTCAATGTTTTACAAAAATTTGAATAACTTCTAATGTAATGAACGCTATTTAATGATATTAAGCTTATTTTAAAGGTCATTTTTTACAGAATGAGGATTATTTATAGTCATTAACGTATAATTTTTTTCATTGAAAATGCAGGTCGTCAAAGTTAGACCAAAAAAATTTTAAAAATTTGAAACAATCTTTCGAACAGAAAAATAATTTTTAAAATTCAAACATATTTTTTTATTAAATTTTCTTAAAAAATCTACACCATATCATTGAAAATTATTATTTTTTAAAAATATCTAAATAAAATACTGGCCAAATTACTTCTGTAAGGTCTTATTATTTTCAAAATTTTATCATCTTTCAAACCATATATGTCGAAACAAATTTTAGTTTTCATAAATTTTATTTTTAAAAACTTTTTTTATTTCCATGAAAATGTATGGACTTTCAATTTTGACCGTGGTACGGTATTTTATTTTAAAACTGTCAACATAATACAGATTTTATAATAAAAATTAAAAAACCATTTTGCATTTTATGTTAACCCTTTCAGTCCCATAATTAGGGCAATTGAAAAATATCTACAATAGGTATAGTACCTATGGTTTTTGGGGTCGCTGATTACGAATCTGGAATCAGATTTTCAAAATTTTAAAAATTCAAAATGGCTGAGTCAATATGGCGGACTATAAAATTAAAAATTATTTAATTTTACTTGAAAGTTGTCACTCGGGGGTTTCATGGGGTCGCTGATTACAAATCTGGAGTCAGTTTTTTAAAATTCAAAATGGCGGATCCAATATGGCGGACAAAATTTAAAAATTAAACAAATTTGCTTGAAAATTTTCTCTAGGGGGTTTTTGGGGTCGCTGATTACGAATGTGGAGTCAGTTTTTCAAAATTCAAAATGGCGGATGCAATATGGCGGACAAAATTTAAAAATTAAACAAATTTGCTTAGAAGTTGGCATTTGGAGGTTTTTGAAGTCGCTGATTCTGAATCTGAAGTCAGTTTATTAAAATTCAAAATGAAGGATACAATATGTTGGGCAAAGAAATAAAAATCCATCAAATTTGTTTGAAAATTACCACTTAGGTGTTTTCTAGATCACTGATTACGAATCTGAATTTAGTTTTTCTAACTTTTAAAAAGAGGAGGGTGTTTTCAAATTCGGGCCTCGACAGTTTTCCCTATTAAAATTTTTTTTTTCTAATAGTTTTTAGAATTCCTTTTGTTGTAGAAGCTATTAACAATGAAAGGCAATCATTATTTTAGTTATTTAATAATTTTTTTATTTAAGGGGTTTGACTAGAATTCCTAGCCAGGACCCCAGGTAGGGTGTTCATTAGATTCTAGATAGGGTACTGATCAGGGCCTCGACAGTTTTCCTTGTTTAAATAAAGTGTAAAAAAATTAAATCTCTAAAATTACTTTTAATAAAAAATAATGAACAATTAAAGAATACAATTAATGGGAGTAATTATACTATCGTTTCAATAATTATTTTATTTTGTGGGTTTGACCAGAATTCCTCGTTTGAATAAAGTGTAAATTAATTAAGTTTTTTAAATTATTTCCCATAATAAAATTATAAACAATTGAAGAAATTAATTAAACGGAGTAATTATACTACCCGTGTAGAAAAATTGTTGGGTTCTAGTGTGGTGCCAGAAAGACAGTCTATTCTCTAACCGATTTTGGATTTTCAAAAAAGGATTTCTTTGTTTTTAAGTATATTTTAAGTTAAAATTAATATAAAAAAAAAATTCAAAAAATTTTTTTTTTGAAATTTTGAAAAATTAAAAATCCGTTTTTGAAAAAACATCATCTTCAATTTTTTTCAAAATTTTACTAAATGTTAGGGCAAATGTGCTTTACATGTCCTGTAAGTTTTATCTTGGGATCTCAAAGGGATTCGGAGTAAAAAAATAAAACGTAACCATATATTACGAACATATGGGGCAAAATTCCTCAACTGCCTAGGTAAAAATATGAATTTTCGCTAAACTTTGCTAAAATGTTACTATTATTAGTAGAAGTGTAAATATTAATTTTTTTTTAATTTGATTAAATATTTTTTGAGTTATGGAGTTTCAAATTTTGATTTTTTTGAAAATATCTTTTTTCGATTTAATATATTGATAAGTAAAATTAATCAAATTTAAAGTATGAATAGTGATTTTAAAGGGGTTTTCACTGGCTATAAGCTGGTGATGAATAAAAAGTTGTTTTCTGTCAATTTGATCTTGAAATTCAAGGTCAAATTCTTAATTTCAATATACAGTAGAACCCGGTTAATACGACCCCGTTTAATACGATTTCCCGCTTAAGACGCTCATTTATGGTGGTCCCTGAAATTAAAGACATACATTTTATATCCCACCTAATACGTTTTCCCGCATAAGACGCATTCTTAGTGCGGTGCCTACAGAATCGTATTAACCAAGTTCTACTGTATCTCAAAATCGGTGTTTTTTATTTTTTCGTAACCTATCCCAATCGAAAGCTTACCTTTTTTCATATGAGCCATGTAAAAATCAGAGTGGGACCATGGAACTTTTTGAAGAAATTAATTATAAATCATCATTTTCTATGTAAAATAATGATAAATTATTATTTTCCTCAAAAATTCTTATGGTCTCACTCTGATTTTTACATGACTCATAGAAAAAAGGTCACCAGCTTATAGCCCGTAAAAATCCCTTTAAAAATCACTTCTTAGATGTTCAAATTTAATATCTAAGATATTGGAAAAAGACTTGTTCAAACATAACCTCACATTTACAGATTATACTTTTTAACATCTGAGATATTAAACCATAACATCTGGATGATATGCATTAGCATCTTTTCTTAATATCTAGTATATTAAGATTTTTAATATCCAATTTTCTCAGTATACTAATAATAGTAACATTTTAGCAAAGTTTAGCGAAAATTCATTTTTTTACCTGGGCAGTTGAGGAATTTTGCCCCATATGTTCGTAATATATGGTTACGTTTTATTTTTTTACTCCGTATCCCTTTGAGATCCCAAGATAAAACTTACAGGACATGTAAAGCACATTTGCCCTAACATTTAGTAAAATTTTGAAAAAAATCGAAGATGATGTTTTTTCAAAATTGGATTTTTAATTTTTCAAAATTTCAAAAAAAAAAGAAATTTTGAATTTTTTTTTTATATTAATTTTAACTCAAAATATACTTAAAACCAAAGAAATCCTTTTTTTAAAATCCAAAATCGGTTAATTAGAACCAAAGTTATAGCACTTTCAAAAAAAAAGACAAAAATTTTGAAAATGCCATATTTTTGGTAATTTTCAAACTTTTGAAAAAATATTTGGTGGAGTTGTTTATCACTATAAATATAATAAATTTACAAAATTACAGCCAAATCCTAACAAGTCATGAAAATAAGAGTGTTGAACTGACGTGGAATCGACCATATATATAATGAATACCCAATGGAAAATGTCAGTGTAGTGCCGATGTTCACCACTGGCTTAGTACTCAGACGATTGTTCGGCGTAGTCTAGCCGAGCCTCGACAATTAGTGCTGGCGCAGTACAGAATTTTTGTTTCGCCAAAGCTTGGACAAGCCACGGCGGCAAGTGCTGGCTGAGTATAGAAAAATTGTTCACGACGCTCTTTGCCAACATTGCTTTTTTGACATAAACTTGAAAAAAATTATAAAAAAAGTTTATGAATGTTTATAAATATAAATTTATTGAAAAACATTAATATTTTACTTTTCAGTTGTTCATTTTTTATTTTTATTAAATTTAATAATAATAATAATTTAACATAATTGTCTAATTTTGTAAATAATAAATTATTTAAACAAATTAAAATTCTAAACAAAATTTAAACTTTAATCCCAATAATAATTTGGTTCCTATTAAAATACTATTATACTTTTTACTATGAATAAAAAATTATTAAAAAATTACCACGTAATTTCAGAATTACGTAAAATGTTAAATGCAATAAGTAAAGTAATTTAATTTTATTATTAAAAATTTAGTTTAATTTATTTTATTTCAATTTATTATTTCTAACGTATCCCTATTTTTTTCTCATCTTTGACTCAATAATTGTATGTCTGAATGATACTGAGATATTAATATACTTTACTGTACACATGTGTCGTTAGCATAGTGGTTAGAGCGATAGTCTGTTAGTCCGTAGGTCGTAGGTTCGATTCCCCTCGTCAGCAATTTTGTTTATTTTCATAGGTTTGCGATATTTCTAGATTCCAATCGTTAGGTATTTCACATAAGTCTGTCCTTTTTTAACGGGGCTGACTCTGTTTACACCTTATATTCAGCCTCAAAAAAAGGCTGAAAGTAAAACTTTTTTTTTAGTGTGTAATATAATATTTTTAATTACAGTAATTTTATTGTAATTTCTTTTGAATAAAATTAACCTCACAAAATAGGGCAATTTTAAGAAAAACTGGCGAGGCCCTGACCAGTTTTTTTCTAAGTAGGGTATTGGTCGGGAACAGCGTCACACACTAGTCGGGCACTGGTCAGTTTCTCTACCCAGAGCCACACCAGAGATCGGGAAAACTGTCCAGTATCCTATCTGGCCCACATTTTAATATCTGCATGGGCGGAGGGGAGTTTTTATGCTAATATAAACACGTATATATGTTTAATGATTTGAAATTTTCGATTTATTTAAAAAAATCTAATGTACTTGTCATTTGTCCCAGTCTTGAGAATGACCCTTAAAATTGTTTCTATACTTAACTTGTTCCGACAACTTACGAAAATAGTACATTTTGATGAAGACTGAATGAATTTTAAATTTGGAATTTCAAATTAAGCCTAAGTGTTTGTCAATATATAGTCTGATGATATATAAAATTGCAGAGTGGTATAAAGTAGTTTTCCTGCGCCACAGTAGGGCAGTTGAATAGAAAGTTATTCATAAAGAAGTATGTTCAATATTATTCGGGTGTCCTGGCTACGGTACTGGCATCATTTTAAGTAGTGAAGGTGCTTCGTTGGTCAGGCGCGTGCGTTCGTGAGCTTTTCACGGTCGGGGTTCGACGTCGCCTCTGAATCGAGGGCTTTTAGAAGGGACACGGGTGTATGCACAGGTCTGATAGGGGAAAGGGAATAGCAACTGAGTCGATGCGAAACTCCCAGAAGTAACACGCTTAGGTATCGTCACTGGATATCACCTGTTTTTCTCGAAAAAAAAGAAAAGCGGCTGCTTTCTCAGGGAAGTTTTCATAGTTTTCATTTTCCAACCTTTTTCGAAGAACGTTCGATATCGACAAAGAACGACGACATTCAACCCTCGGTGGTGAATTCACATCCTTAGTTCTAAATTTAAACACGCCACGTTATCCCCTCAAGTGATTGGCGCTAGGTTGGCTGCGCGACTCATCGCGGCGCGGTGCCGACTACGCGAGTCAGTCGACGTTCCGCCGGCGAGCAGTGCGGACGCCAGTTGAAAAATCCCTCATTTACTGACACGAGTTATCATATTATCGCTGGCGCGTCCGTGATCCGAGCCACCGGTGCGAGGGTAGCAAGGCCCCGCAGACAAGGCGTCACGTCCATCAACACGCTCTCTTTATTGATCGGATTTGACCTGCAAACATTTACTCTCCTCTAAAGCTTTTTTGTAGATCGTGTGCCGTAGTAGTGGGCCGCTTGATATTTTTACTTTTCCGGTTAGTGGTTAATATCCACTGTGGTAGTTTCCGGAAATGGCTGCCCCAGCAGCTTGCACGCGGTTTAGTGACAACTACGATCTTAAGGAGGAACTTGGCAAGTAAGTGAGAAATGAAAAACAACATTGCCCAGTAGCGTATTTATTGTGATAAGAAACTCGTGTTTTATTATTATAAACCGCGTGTCGAGTCAACTCTCGACCCACACGTCCCTCTCCTTACACTACTGGTTCTATATCGTAGTCGCTGTACCACTCCCTCTCTTCTTTATCTCCAACCCGGATCACATCTCATTGAGGAGGTCGCTTCTTACTCTCCTTCAATTTGCGAGAGTTGCTAACTCCCAGTTATCTACACACCAAAGACTAGAAGATTGGCCGTCTATTTGCAATTTTCCTTCAACACACGGGCCACTAGCAGACGATGCGGCGCTGTCGGCCATGTCTGTCACCACTCGTGGCGACCACCTCGACGCTTTTCTTCTTCTTCCTCCTCTAGTAAAAACTACCCTTAAGTCTCGTCAACATTTCTTTCTTTTCACTCTTTTCCTACTCATTTCCTGTTTATGGACATTTTTCCTGATAGACTTCTATTAACCATTTGAAATTTTCAGATTACTTGGAAACTTAATTTTCTCTTGCGCTAATTTCCCTATTTTGTCGACTTTTTTTCTATGCTAATTCTGCTTTCCAAATAGTATTTAAATAATTCGGAAGATACTGCCATGTGCTTCTGACACATTCAGTCGTTTCCCTTTCAAAGTTCATTGCACTTATAGTGTCGCCTACTACTCACCCCTCCAAATAATCCCCCACATTTGTTTTCCCTTCGTGCCCCTATTTCTCCCCATTGATCTAAACTTCTTTTCCGGTTTCTATTTTCTTTCGGTTGAAATTAATTTTTATTACTATTTCATTTATTCTATGATAACATGATATTTTTATGATTGGAAATCATAGTTTCATATTTCCCTTCAGGTGACCTTGATTTTGACCCAGTCCTACCTTTTTCGAACAGAGTACATGTGCTGTAGATGTAGGTTTGGTTCTTAAACTTCGCAGCCATTAAATTCTCGATCTATTTTTAAACCTTTTTTCTAAATTTATTTCATTGTTTTTATTAGTAGTTTTGCTTTTTGAACGTAGTTTTTGTAATATTTTGAATGTTATGCTTCCCCTTGTTTTTTTACTCAGAGAACGTCATTCTCTCTCCATCTCGACTTATGGGTGACACCCCGAGTTGCATTTCGGTTATATTTAAGCTCATCAGACTGCCGCTCCAAGCTATATATAAGCTAGGGTGGCTGGCCACGTTCCTAAGCTTCGTCTCTTCGTCGCCGTTGCTATCCACCAAGCCGGTCTTTGATGAGGCTTTCGCTACGCTCAGAACTGTCACCGAATCAATACAAAGCTCGCCTTGCTGCAGGTGGTTGCTCAGCGACTTCCTCATCAACTCCTAGTAATCCTCCACACCCGGATATCATCTTCCTGCATTGTTCTTTAATTTGTTTCTTTCTTTATTAAAAAATCCATAACAGTGAATGAAAATTTATCGTTTCCTTCTCATTGAATATTGAATCAGTCACTTTTCACTTATTTATCAGCATTCATTTGATAATTCATTAGTTATGGTTCTTAAAAGAAAAAATTTAAATGACTGATTTTTCTGAAAGTGCTACTTTTGAATTTCGATTTTTTAATTTATTTCTTTTTCAAATTATATGCTTTTTTCTATTCAAACTACATTACTTCATAACCAAGAGTTACAATTTAAGTTGCGCAAAATTAATTGTATTTTTAATATAATATATTGAAAAAGATTGACTTTGTTGCTCTATTTTATTATTTGATTCACAAGTTTTTCTATAAAAAATACACGTTAATATGATTCACGTAATTAATACTAAAAATGTTCTGTTCGATTAAAATATAAATCTATAGTTATAGTTATCTATATAGTTATCTACACTGAGAGAAATGGATAGTCAGATTTTGATGTTAAAAAGATGATGTTACACGATACTATCATTATGCTACTGCCAACCATCACAGATGCTAAAAAAAATATAGTTATATGCTACCCCGTACTACCGTGTATAGTTGAAGTATCTGATTTGATGGTTATTTATTTATTAACAAACCTTCGGAGATGATATTAAATTTTTACTGGAGACAATGTGTAAAATTTGATTATATTTATCAAAAAGCAACATTTTTCCTCCTTTGGGAAAAGTAAACATTTTGTTTAGAATATTTTAATATATAAAAAATATTGTATACTAAGGCACTAATTTCAGAGAATCATTAAAGGTTTAAAAAAATTTCATAACAATTCAGTTTTTTTATATAGAAGTCCTATTTTACCTATTGCATAAATTCAGTTGAATAAAATTCTTTAATTTTTTTTAAATACCCAGGTGCGATTTTTTGGTCGGCCCATAGTTGGGCCAACTTTTACAAAGTCGGTCCAACTTCTCGTGCCAGAGGTTAGGCCGCAACCATACAGATGATAACGGTTCGCCGTCTAATGGCGACGATGGTTGGCCCGACAACTCATAAGGAAGTTGGACCAACTTACAATGCATATGTTGTGCCAACTATACATTTCAATGGTTGGTCCAAAGACTGACGCCAAAGTTGGCACAACTTTAGATGCGTAAGTTGGGCCAACCACAATTTTCAAAGTTTGGCCAACTTCAACAGCCAAAGGTAAAAAATTATTAAAAAACTAAATTATTTAAACAATTAACAGGTTATTATTAGCGGGAACATCAGATATAACCTTTACCTATTATTATTAAACACAATCTCATACATACATTTTCGAAAATATCTATCGCTCGCTGGGATCGAACCCCTAACCTAACGCACCGAAGACTTATACACTGACCACTACGCTACGCTCACATGGGAGTGCATAACGCAAAATGTATATTAAAGCTGTAACAGTCGGGCCAACCGTGGCCCAGAGTTCGGCCAACCAAGAAAGTTTAAGTCATTTAAACTGCATTTGACAAAGTTTTGCCAACCGTTGGGCCAACCGTGGCCCAGAGTTCGGCCAACCAAGAAAGTTTAAGTCATTGAAACTGCATTTGACAAAGTTTTGCCAACCGTTGGGCCAACCATGGCCCAGAGTTCGGCCAACCAAGAAAGTTTAAGTCATTGAAACTGCATTTGACAAAGTTTTGCCAACCGTTGGGCCAACCGTGGCCCAGAGTTCGGCCAACCGAAACTGAAAGTCTTTTGAACGACGTTTTGATGAGTTGTGCCAACCTTTGTCGCCAAAGTTGGCCCGGCGGTTGGTTAAACTCTGCATTTAATGGTTGGCTTGCAAAGTCGGGCCAACTGTGGGCACTAGTACTTGCCAAAGTTGGGCAAACTCTGGCAACCAAAACTTCGCTTGCCAAAGTTAGGCCAACCTTGGGCCAACCTTCAAACTCTGGCGGCCAACCTAAATTCGCACCTGGGTAAAATAAACTGTTACTATGAATATGGTTAATAATTATTAGAGAGTAGATTTTATAAAATTAATCAAGATATCAAAAATGTCACTTTCAGAAGAATCGCCAAAATAGAAAAGTTCAAAAGGGGAAAAATTATAGTTTGAACCTTCATTTTAGTATAAACTTAATTGTAGTTTGTAACCCAATTTTTTAGTTACTAGGTAAAGTTTATTTAACTTAAATAAATATTTATTTCGTTTAACTAAACGTTTGGTTTTTATTGAGTTCGACAGTAAAATCAGCACTGGCAGAAATTTCTGCGCATTTTTATCAATTTTAAACTACCCAATGGGAAATGCCAGTGTAGTGCCGATGTTCACCACTGGCTTAGTACTCAGACGATTGTTCGGCGTAGTCTAGCCGAGCCTCGACAATTAGTGCTGGCGCAGTACAGAATTTTTGTTTCGCCAAAGCTTGGACAAGCCACGGCGGCAAGTGCTGGCTGAGTATAGAAAAATTGTTCACGACGCTCTTTGCCAACATTGCTTTTTTGACATAAACTTGAAAAAAATTATAAAAAAAGTTTATGAATGTTTATAAATATAAATTTATTGAAAAACATTAATATTTTACTTTTCAGTTGTTCATTTTTTATTTTTATTAAATTTAATAATAATAATAATTTAACATAATTGTCTAATTTTGTAAATAATAAATTATTTAAAGAAATTAAAATTATAAACAAAATTTAAACTTTAGTCTCAATAATAATTTGGTTCTTATTAAAATACTATTATACTTCTTACTATAAATAAAAAATTATTAAAAAATTGCCACTTGTAAAATGTTATTAAATGCAATAAGTAAAGTAATTTAATTTAATTATTAAAAATTTAGTTTAATTTATTTTATTTCAATTTATTATTTCTAACGTATCCCTATTTTTTTCTCATCTTTGACTCAATAATTGTATGTCTGAATGATACTGAGATATTAATATACTTTACTGTACACATGTGTCGTTAGCATAGTGGTTAGAGCTTTAGTCTGTTAGTCCGTAGGTCGTAGGTTCGATTCCCCTCGTCAGCAATTTTGTTTATTTTTATAGGTTTGCGATATTTCTAGATTCCAATCGTTAGGTACTAAAATATGAAAATCTAACCAAGCTGAAGTCCACAACGTTGATCAACGAAAAAAAATTGTTTATTTAGTAAATTAATTAAAAATAACGTAGCAATATTGACACAAAAATATTTAGAAAAAAAATATTGATGTTTATATTTTGATAATAATTACTTTACAATTAAATATTAAATTAAAAATAATACTTGAATGCATTAAACAAATTTTTTTCGTTGATAAACGTTGTGGACTTCAACTTAGTAAAATCTAATGCACACTTACTGTAATTGTTTATTATTTAATTTTTTAATGTTATAAACAATTTTTTGTGTACTTCATTTACTATATCCATTGTTAGTGTCCATCTTTAATACAATTTCTTCAAGAAGAGAAATATTTTATGAATAATAACTATTTATTAATATTATTTACCATTTTGTTGTTAAATTATTTATAATTATTAATTTACGACTAATTAATAACAATACAGCATTTATTGCAGCAATATTCTCAGCCAGCACTGTCTGTCAGCACTGG